TGGGCAGCTGATCAGACAGAGTATCTCCTCCCTCTTTGTGCCTCTGTTTTATACTCTCTGTCTTGTCTACTTAAACTGGAAGCTCTTAAGGCAGGATTTTTTCTTTTAATATATCTTTGTGAACCAGCTGAACAGGGTCTTCATGCTGACTGAGGACTACTATGTCAATGCCATAAAAATTATTATATATATTTTGTTTTTAAATGGAAAATACCAACTGTGCAGTGTACAAGCCTTAGAAGCATACAATGCTATTTTGATATGGTCTTTTATTTGTCCCTTCATCCTTGCCTGTATACCACTATTCTGTTGCCTCTGTACTGTGCTGTGTCCTCTAGATTGTGAGCTCTCCAGAGCAGGAACTAAGGATGGTATATTTATGCTGGAGGATATACCTTTCAGTTTGTTACAGTGTCAGTCTTACTGACAATCATTGTCAAGTTGCTATTGATGCTCTGTATGAAAGCTTTGGTTTTGGGTTGTTAGGCTGTTTGTTTTTTAAACTAAATCTTTCAATTAAGATACAGTGAATGCATATCAGTACTGCCTGTTGAGTGCTAAGTTTAAGAACTGATGGTGAAGCCTGGAGTTGTGAATATCCACTGTACATCAGGAGCACTTGGATGAATGTGAAGCTTGATAACTTCTGGACCTTCTCCCAGGATCTGTGCAATGGTGGAGATGGAAAAATGGATTATTGTCAACTTTCTTCTAGATTTTTCACCCACATGATTATTCTGTGCTGACTCTACAGATCAATAAAAAAAATCTTCTATAAAGATGAAAAGACTTCAAGTAGAAGGAAAAGGACAACGATGGCTGCTAAATGGGAACATTTTTTTGTCACCTAGCATAAACAGAATATCTAATGTCTCAAATTTAATATCTGAGAAACTAAAGTAGATCGGGGAGAGAAAAGGGAAAGGAGAAGAGAAGGAAATAAAAAGTTTGGAAAACAATGCTGTTTTCCTAAACTCATATGGTAAATACAAGACAAAATTGAGAAAATGACTGTTGTTTTTACAACTTAAAACACATTGGAGCACTATCAGGACGTTTTAATTGGCACAAACAGTTTCTTCACTGTGTTTGACCTTTTTGTTGTGGAAATGTAAGTATCAGTCAGAGGTAAATGTAAATTGTCAGACTAATACCTTAACACAGAGGGAAAAGGTAATTGTGTTACAGGGTTTACGATGCCTTATGGATATTAAACGTAGTTAACACCTATCAGAAAAACAGACTAAATAACCTGGCAAGCAGAAAATGTTGTTAGAGTGTATTGGAGGAAAACTCTTGTGTACTGGGTAAAGCAATGTTACAGGTGGGTGGGTTGTGGTATTACCTTTTTTTTTTCTTTCTTTCTTTCTTTCTTTCTTTTTTTTTCCTTTCCTCTGTCCCTGGTGTGTTGTCCAGGTATGGTTAGTGACTGGCTGCATATATGTGTTCTCTAGTGAGTTTTGCTGCAGGAGAAGATACAGTCTGCAGTGGTTGTGAAGTAAGGGTGGGAAGGGAGTTGTCAGAATAGAAAATTATTCTAAAAAGCTCTGAAATGGGTTAATGTCAGTTTTGCAATCACCAGCATGCTTCAATGAGTAATCACTTTTTTTCCTTTTTTTTGGGGGGGGAGGGGGACTTGGAAGTTGTTTTATCTGTATCATTAAGCAGAATTTAATTTTGTGTGCTTTTACTATTGATGTGCTAGAAAGAGACAAAACTGAATAGCTTAGGTAGTATCTTTTTCCAGGAAACAGACTTAAAAATATTACTGCTTGATTGAAGACAGTGGGTGTATTTAATAAAGAAGCACAATACTGTATGTCTTTCCTTAGACAAAAAGCAGGTAATCAAGTTATAGCTACCACTTTTCCTTCAGAAGTTTTTCTTCAACAATCCCTTTCTATTTTATTTTTTTAATATAAAGCAGACTATCAGATAACTATGGCAAGGGTTAATCCGGAACTTCAATTTTTCCTGTTCATGTTATCATTTTAATCCCAGTCAGTTCAGGTACTGGTTTCAAGCTATTCACCTAGCTTGCTAGATTCAGAAATGCAAGGGTGACTGTGTTCCACCAGAACATGAGACTGACTGTTCTGGGCTCTTCTTTGCCCCCTGAAGCAAAAAAAAAATAAAAATGAGTCTGTCATGTGAAAAACCATTCATAAAATACAAGTTGTAGATGCAGCAGAGTGTGGCAGCTGGTTAAAGGCGCACTGCTGGCTGCCTAGCTAGAAAGTATTTTACAGGAATCCAGTGTGCTACTGTTCCTAATGTTTCTTCTGAATTATTTGGCTTGAAATATTGGAGGAGCTCGGAAAAAATTATGAACAGGGTTCTGAGAACTTTTTGGGGTTAAAAAGGCATGTGCAACTTTAGAGGACTCCATTAAGATGATGTCACAATGAAAGAGTAAAAATTCAGTTATGTGTGTGATAAAATGGAACTAGTATTTTCTTTTCTTTTCCATCCAGTATTGTATAAAATATTTTAAAAGTAAATCAGATTCTATTTTAATTCTTTAAAAAAATAGAAGGAAAAGAAAGAAAAAAAAAAAAAAAGGTGCAAGGTCTCTTTTCTAACCCTTAGCTGAATAATGTTTTGCATCAAGATAAAATGTATAGTTTCAAATCAGACTTCTACCTGTAACTGATCAGGAAGGACAATCTGTGATGTAATTAAGCATGAGTTACCCAATCTTTAGTTGAAGTATACATTTGTTCTTAATTCCTAGAGTGGTTACCTTATGGTTATTTTAATCGTATTAATTGAATTATCTTTCCTTTTATTTGACCTAACTGATTCTTGTAAATTCATAGGGACTATGACATTATCTTTGGATACCTAATATGTGTATCTGCCAATTTTTTTCAGTACAAATGAACAACACACACGCTAATCTCCCCTGTATTCTTGGTCACTAAAAGTACTGTTGATATTGTGCAGCCAGAGAGGGGAAAACCTGTAAATGTCTATAGTATTCTATTTCCATTCCAGATCAAACAATAAACCAGAAACATCCTTTTCTCTGTACCATTTCCCATATATTGTTTACTTAAAACAAGGCATGGAGGAACGTGGGTGGAAAGGTAGCTCATCTTTCTGTTGCAAAATGTTACCTCTCCCCGTTTAAAAGCTACTTTGTAAACAGAATTGTGTTGGCTCTTGCAAAATTAATGTGGCATAGTACTAGTGTGACTTTTATTAATTTTGCATGTGATTTTTTTTTTTTTTTGCAGCTTTCCTCTCTTTCTCAAAGTGTGTAAAATCTTGATCTTAACTTTTAAAGAAAATTCTGCAAAAAAATCTTTCTCCTTTTTTGCTTCTTCAAAATCTTTTTCATTTCTAGAAAAGACTAGATTAGACGTGAATTGCACTCTACCACAGTAGCATACTTGGATGACCTTACTATCCTTCAGAATAATGCTTTGCACAAAACTAGACACTGTGTAACCATTAAGTGTGTGAATTTATCCTCTGCTCTCACCCTGACGTTTTAAGTTGAAAGCAGTAACTCGCTGTCAATAAAAACAAAGATGTGACTATCTTCAGAAATTGCTCTGTGTGGGGACCTGACTCGTAGTTCCTGTCACTGTGAAGTCACTGTGATTTCAGCTCTTGCCCTGTTACAGGGTGTATGGTCAGGTTGCTTAGGTCCAGATCCTGAGAGGGATTTAGGCTCTGGTTTATGTTGGTTTGGGGTAGTATGAGTGGCAAATAACAGATACTAATGTACCTCAGCTTCTTCTGTGGCTCGTTATCCTGTCTGTTAAGTGTATCTATATTAGTGTTTCCCTACCTCACAGGGGTGTTGTGAGGATAAATGTATAAGAAATTGCCATTCTGTATTTGAGGTAACTGAATTAAACAGGAAACCTCGTGCACGGAGACAATCAATTAAAAATTGTTGTAGGTGCCCAGGGGACCTGGAAGTTGAAGAATGATACCAGAGGCTTCCTATCTGTGCAGTAATGAGCAGATTCTTGCTTTGTTGGCTTCTAGCTGTGACAACCCAACATGACAGCTGGATTTGATGCCATTACTGGCATGTACTGTGCAGAGCAAAGTAGTTTTGAACCCCCTCTCCCGAAAAACTTGTAGAGTTGTCCCCTTTTTTTTTACTGGGGATATCATCCACTTTGTTAAGTGAAGAGTACTTCCTTGTCCCCACTACCAAAATGAAATGTCTTTGAATCCTGGTCACAAATCAGATTAATCCAGACTGCTACATCTTCTTTGCTTCTTTACCATACTTCATCACCAGTGAATGCACCCTGTCCCTGTGCTAGGAACGAACTTTTTTGTGTCACTCTGATTAAAAGGAGAAAAAGTAGATTATGAAGATAATGTTTACTTAAGTGCTCAGTATTTACTTCCTTTCTATGAACGATTTTGGGGGAAAGGAGTTTCCTCAGAAGTTGTTGAATGCCCAGTATATGGCGATTATCTCTCTTTTTTTTCCTCCTTTCACTGTCTTAGCGGATGCTGTTAAATGTTTGAATTATGACTTGATGAAAAGTCTGAGACAGTGTCTTAGAACACCCATGCAGAAACTTCTGTGTTTGTAAGCTATCCCTCATTTTCCATATATTTTTTAAAGAAGATGGATAGCTAACAAAGTTGACTTAAGTTTTCATCATTGTGTTTTATAGCTGATGTGTTCACTGAGATGAATGAGGCAACTAGAAAGTCTTAGAGCCATTTTGCAGGCACACTTCAGAGCACTGGTTATCAGTTTGAAAGTTATGTTTGCAGCATTGCCTACCAGTGACTCCAGATCTTTTAAAGTCTTCTGTAGCTTCCAAAGCAGAATGGAAGTATCGATCATCCTAAGGCAATTTGTGATTCTGAGGTTTTTTGTAATCTGGTGTTGTTATAGTTGTAGTTGAAGGAGTGTATTAAAAAACTGTGGAGTATTTATGAAGATGACTGTGGTAAAAGTTTTAGTTTGCTGTTACTAATTCAGACCAGAATCATTTGGGGTGTTGTTCCTGAAGTGTATCAGAAAGCACTTTCCTATCCAGAGACAAATTCCTCATGGCATATAATAAAAGTCCACAAATCTTAAAAAAAAAAAGAAAAAGAAAAAAACCCCACCTTTTCTTTTAGAGATATGCAAGTTATGTTTGGATGGTGATGGTTTGTGAAACACTTTAAAATTTCTTTCCCATGATGTCTTTTTCTTAGGGTATGTACATTAAATCAACATATGATGGTCTCCATGTAATTACTGGAACAACAGAAAATGTAAGTATTGTTAATACTGTATGTTCAGGCCTGGAAGCCTTTTTGACCTTACTTGTGGTTTATGCTTTCCCTTTGCTATAGATTATATTTTGCTTGCAAAATTGTGCTAGTTGGCTGTTGAGGACCAATAGCATGTCGGACGGCAGAAATGCTTGTGCTTGTTTACCTCAGAATTGAAAGATTTGTTCCCAGTTGAGGACCAAGGGAATCAGTTTTGATTTGTTCTTGCAAGACACCTAAAATGCTGCAGTTGATCAAGATAGGAAGTGTCTTGGAGTTACCTTGCTCTATGCATAAAAGATAAATGTCTTTATTATATATAGGCTGATATGCTGGAGTTTGCTGCAGTATTAGACAAACAGCTTTTATATTTTCCATCCATCAAGTTTTATTTTGTAATAAATAAATGCATGGAAATGAGGACATCCCTTCACATTGACAAATAACCATGTATATCTGCATGAACTTCTGAGTAATGTTTATAGAAAGGAACACTTATTACTGGTGTACTAACTCTCATTCAAGGTGTTAAACAGCAAGTGGAGCATAATAGACTACTTTTCAACTGCCTTTGAAATACAACCTCCTTTCTTTGTGCACCATATTTAGAGAACTGGCTGTCTGTTAGAAAGTGAGCAAAATGATCATTTTAGGGGGAAAGGCTTCTATCCATAATTGTCAATGAACTTGAAACAAGCCACTAAACAACACTGAACTGTTCCATAATGGTTAGGCAATTCCTTTCAAAGGCATCTTCTTAAAATTAAACTGTCAGAAATGTTTGTTTTGTCCTGCTAATGTGTCATGCTGTGGAGAGTACAAACTATCTACATAGTATTTACAGCTGCTGCCTCTGATCTGCAGTAAGGTTCTGTTAGCATCTCAATAAAATAGAAATATTATTTTCATCCCTTCGTAGGAACTGCAATTTGATAGCCTTTTTTCTTTCTTTTTTCTTCTACTGCAGGCAGGATATCCATGTGTTATACCCAATCGATAATATCTATTGTAGAACTTCTGTGAATGCCATCTGTCTCAGAATAAGGAAAATATAAGGAATTTAAATCTTGAAATAAAAAAATCTAGGGAGCCAGACCTACAGCTACAGATATCATCAGTGAAATTAGCAAAACTAAAGAAAAACAGCTTAATCTAGAAAACATATGAAAGAAAGAGGATGGTTTTTACCATTGAATTTCTCTCAGATTAAAAAAGGAACCATTTCCCTCCATGAATTACTAATATTGGATTTAATTTCCCAGGGGCAAAGATAAAAATAAAATCTTAATGCATTCCCTCAAAACTCTTATCTTTTGTGATTCATGAATATAATTTAAAGTCACGTCAGGAAGCTTCAGTCATGATGACTTTTCTGCTTTCATTACTGGCTCTTTCACTCACTGTAACCCTGGAGGTGCTCACAGCAGACTGAGAAACTGCAGTCTGCTGTCTACGGAAAAACCTGTTGTGTGTTTAAAGTATTTGTGAAAATGAGTAACACCTTAGAGAAAGTAAGGTGTCTCCTGCTTTTAAACACACAGTTGCTAGCTACTTCTTTTTTTTTAAAAAAAAAAAAAAAAAAAAAAAGTATGATTCTGATAGATGGGAGGAGAAACTTCTAAGCAGCGTGGCCAGAGCAAGGTCATGATGGTGCAGATGTGATCTGACCTGTTGATATTGGCATGTTTACTATTTGTAATAAAATTTAACTTCTAGGAAACAGTAAGAAGCCAAATTCTGTTCCCTTTGAATAAAATTTTGTGGACACCTTTCCAATTCTACTCCTCCAAGTGAGACATTGGCACAACTTTTTGTCTGAGACTTTCTTGAAAGATCACAGAGAAGCACTTGTCTTTTTACTAAACACACTAGCACAGCAGTGCTAGCCACATTAATGTGCCATAGTAGTTTTTGTAACAACAGTTTTGCTTTTTGTGTTTGCTATTGGAGATGTTTCATGTCCAGCTACAAAGCCCATTAATGTTCAGCATTAGGAGTCATCTGTCCCAACACATCAGCCCTGCATTTCAAAGCATCTGAGCTCTGAAACTTGAACTGTGAGAGAGCAGGATTCCTCATAGGTCACTTCCCCGTAAGAGCTTCTTTCTGGTGGTCCTGTAGCATTAGAGCAAGCTCAGCTGTCTGGTTCATGTCTTCTCTCTTTTGTTTGGAAGTAACAAATCTAAAGGGTGTATTGGTCCAGCAAGAGGTTACAGCCTTCTTGATGAGTAGCCCTTTTAGACTGTGTTGAAGAGATTCTTCTAATTCACAAAACAAATGTATTTTTCAACTAAGGCTATTCTGTAATTTAGTTTTTCACTAGAAAAGAGTATTTTCTAAAGTAATAGCATGCAGTGCATCTCCAGCAAGAGTGTAACTTTGAAGACGGTGCTCCCAGTGTCCCCACTTACTGTGCACTGGTTGAATTTTCGGGTTGCTGTTAGGTCTCAAGGAAGAGAAGAAATAACAGAAGAAATAACATTAAAGAAGAAATAACATTTCAGAAGAAATAACATTAAAATCTCTGCTCTGAGCATGCAACAAATATGCTCCAGGGGGTCTAAACTGGTCTTTCAGACAGTATGAGTATGCTGCAGGAATGGGACAAAGACAACATTTAGCCTAAAGGACAAAACTAAATCTATTCTGAAGAGTGGATCCTAAGTAGATTCTGAATACCTTGTATGGTATTAATGTGTGAGCCTCAGCCACAGGTGTTTCCATCTGTTGTTCAACTTTCTGTTGAACTGAATTACCAGCTAATGAAGATATAGCTGTGATGTGATACACTTCATTCCTCCTAGTAGGACTTCTTGAATGGATGCTTTGCTTAATGATCAGCATATACATCTAAAAAATGAAAAAGCTTATAAATTCTCCTCTGTTTTCCTTGAATAGTGATGATAAAAGATACTGTTTCTTTACAACAAGGTCTGTATTGTTTACTTGGGAGGAAAAAGCAGTAAGGAACGAGTTGCAGCCCCTTCATAAGACCACAGCCTTGAGACTTCTGTGTAAATGATTTCTGCCTCACCTTGCAGTGTGTTTGAGGCCTAATTGTAATGAGTTTTTTTAAAAATACACTTTTCCAATTTGAAGATTTTCATATTTACTGGCTTGGCAAAGTGCTGCACAAAATGCCTGTTTTGTCAAGATTTAAGCTGCAAGTACTGAAGTCAATACAGGAGAAAGTTTGTCTTGTAAAACGATCCTGTAGAGTTCAAGGGTAGTGACACAAGATTCACTTCCATTGACATTTTGAAAGTCCTAGGTGTAACTACCTGTGAGCTTAAATAGCACTATTACGTAGGATTATAAAGATTGTTAGAGGTATGAATAAGTGTGAGTAGTGAAATGTCAGGCAGAAGATAGATCATTAGAACATAATCACCAATGTTAAAATTTTTCCCCAAGTCACTCAGCCAACACTTTCAATGCTGAAATAGTGCCAAAAAGTCAAGGCTGCTGTTCTTTATGTAAGTAAAATTACACTTTTACCAGCCCAGCTTGATTTAGGATGTTCTGAGCAATGTCTCCTAGAACTGAGTCATGAGCGACCCTTCTTTCAGTCTTGTTTCTCTTGGGTATCTTCCATTTAAAAACTGTCCTTTACTTAGGCCATGAATTACATGGAATTGTACTATAAAGTCATGGCATAGGTGTGGGAGGTATATTTTGAATGGGGATGTGGTACATAGGTTATTACAAACAGTCTACATTTCAGGCCTGGAGCATCTTCTCTAGATGACCTGTTATCTCACCTGAAAATGAATTTAATTTCATTTCTTTCTTTAAAATTCATAGTAGCTTTTTGGAAACCTGTTCCTGAGCAACTGGTGGTTTGTTTTTTGTTTTTTTTGTTTTTTTAATTGCCAGTCGCACCTTCTACCTTTAAGTAGATTAAGTGCCTTCGTAGGCTGGCAGCCACAGTATTGAGAGAAAAATCAAAGCATTGTCACTCTGTGAAAAGCTGAATGAACTTATTTTTATCTAAATATAGATGTATTTCCCTCAGAAAAGAGTTGGTCTGCTGTAAATAGAGAATGCAGAAGAAGGGAAAGTTTTTTGGGGGGATATTGCTTTACGAGGGAGGGTTGTGGATTTTTGTTGTGGGGTTTTTAGTTTGGATTCTTTTGTTGTTGCTGTTGGGGTGTGTTTTTGAGGCAAAAGCAAGGAAGAAAGCTACTTTGCTTTTTGAAAGTGTGATCTTTGTAGCTGGTTGCATTTCTTCCACCCTATGATGACCCAGAAACTAAGTTACCATGTAACTTTTATGAGCTTCCTAGCTAGTACCTAACCGAATCCTCTCTGGTTTTGTACTCTTTGAAGACCAGTAATTTACTGAAGTTCTCTGCAACATATTGAAACACTGTAGAATAAAAATGCAATATTGTGAAATTTTTTAATGAGGATTTGCCAATTAGTCTTGATAGGTTCAATATTCATCCAAAGATTGGGTTTCAAGGTTTAAGAGATGTCAGGCAGGTTAAAGCAGTCTTTTGGCAGAATGAAATTAAAAAGGAATCCTTAGGACTCGGTTACTCTTTAATAAAAAAATATTCATACCTTGCTTAACATTTGATTGTATTGTGTACAATAGTACAGATTATTTTTCTCCAATAACCCTTGATTTACTAAATATTTCTTTAATTCTTTATTTCACAGTAAAATGTCATTATCGATCTAACCTGATTTACACAGCTTAGCAATCATACTGCTGAAAGAGAGATGATGACCAGTAAGAACTGTATTCTTTATCATCTCTTTTATTTTAAATTCAGTCACCTGCAGATCGGTGCAAGAAAATCCATGCTGGGGATGAAGTGATTCAAGTTAACCACCAAACTGTGGTATGTATAACTATGTTCTGTGTCAGTTGCAGATAGAGGTGTCATGGCACATCAGCATGTATAGAAAAGAAATGTGTAGAAAAATGTGTTTTTATAAATAATTATTTATTCTAACATCTAAATTTTCCTTTTCTCTTCTGAAACCACATAGTTCTCAAGCTAAGCCCCAATCCTCTGCATATTACTGGAGGTATCAAGTTAGGCTAAATAGCTGTGGCTTGGAAGATACGTTAGGGTGTTTTCTGCTTACCCATGCTCCATTAATATACAGGTAGTTTTAGTGTTATAGAAGATTTGAGTCAAAGGTGTGCAGGGAGTTGTAACTGTTGTGCCCTTATGGGTTAAAGATCAAGACTACTTTCTTCAAGCTGGAAAACTTACTACTTTTCCCAAAGCTACTGGAATGTGTAGAACATGTTTTGGAGAACAAAAGCATGTAAAATTCCCATAGTGTGCTAGAGTGTTTGTCTTAATTTAAATACAGATTTTTAAACTTGTAAAGTTAAGATGAAACAAATCTTTCAGATACAATAGGCAAGAAAACTAGTACCATGCAAAATGTATTTTGTGTGGAGAGATGCATGTTAGTTCACGGTGATTTTATTTAGGATTGGTGAACTGTTAAAGTAAAATTACCTTTTCTAAGGTATGGCTCAGTAACAGAAAAGAGCAGACTGTAGCAGACAGTATAGAAAGCAACTATTCTTTTTCCAAATTATAATGTTTCTTAAGAGCAGTGAAAGTCAATATATGGTATGAATTACATGTGTCCTTGCAAGCAATTTAACTGACAAAAAAAATATCCTAGATCGCCATTATTAATACAGCAGTTATTTGTTAAAAGTGTGTTTTGACATTCCCTATGGGGCTCCACTCTCGCTTTAGGCCAATGTACATCATGTCAGCTCCTCTGCACAAATTAGTGTAATATTTCAGTATATCCTCTGGCTAAGTTTGGTATCAAATATGCTGTACAAATGTGGAACTTAACTGATCAGAATCTATCTTTTGAGCTGTGCAATGTAATTTGATAAATCTAAGCAGATCAGGGTGAATTTTAATACTTTTTTGGCCGTATAGATTCTTCGTAAGTATTGTATCCCATGGTTACTTACATGTACAATTGGTGACTAATTTATTTATTTTTCTGCACTAAGAAACCTTATGACATCAACTTAATATGAAAAACATTTTAGAACATTATTGTTTTGGCTATGAAATTGTATACACATCTGAAGAAGCGCATCAACAAGCATTCAGTCCTTATGCTAGCTAGTTTTTCTGACAAATTCTGATGGTACTATATATCAAAGTTACCTTGTCAACTTGAAATTTAAAAAAAAAAATTATAGGCATCTGTTTTTCTGGAGAGAAAAGGTATTCTTACCTACACTGATTCTTACTTAGGAGATAAAGCATTCTGAAGATACTATGTTTTGTCTTTTCTCTTTATTGAATTTTTTCACACTTCATATACTGCTCAGCGGTTGAAAGCACGGGATCTTTTTTGAACATGCTCCTTGTAACTTGTCATACATTATCATTCATTTTGACTATAGAGATAACTATGACTAAATTTTTTAAAGATCTAACTCTAAAACTGTAGGGAAGTATTGTTGACACGTAACTGTTGTTTAGGTGCTGTCTTGTGATTGGAGAATCAAAATGTAAAAAAAAAAATAAAAATCTAAATTTATATGATAGTTGTAATTTTTTTTTTCTGTATTTTCTTCAGTTATTTCAGTGTATTCTGTTTATCAAAGTGAAGTTAATACCTGGCTTTCAGAACACTATATTTTAAAGAATGAATATAAATATGAGGAAGAGAAATTCCATGCAATTATTTTAAAAATCCAACTTGTTAGCTAACATGTTTTATAAGAATCACATTTTAATAATTATGAAAATGCTGTTCTTTCAGAAGACCCACTGGCTTTCAAATAAGCAGCATGACAAAGTAGGATAATAGTTAAGTGACTTATTGATTTTTGTTATACGTGTCCCGATAGTGATTGTCAAACACTTTTAAACTCTCTATTGACATCCTCTGTTTGCTTGTAGTGATACTTAATCTTCATAGTATTTAGTCTGGCAGTGAAATCAAAGGATTTCAAGTGATTGCCCTGATCTGTTGCTATGTTGATAGAAAACATGCATAACAGGATGTATTCCACTTGTTGCTGGCAGGATGTCTGGAATGTAAATATCTTCTGAATTTTTAAAATAAAAAAAATAGTAAGATTAAGTCTAAAGTCAGTGAAAAGTTAATATTCAGAAAATCATCCTTTTAGTTGTGGTTTATTGAGGTTAGATAGCTATGTGAATCTTCTGTGTCAGTTTTACCTTACATAATAGATTTTTTTTAAAATAGCTCTGTAACTAAGCAGCATGACTCCTTCATTAAAATTCACAGGATATAGATGCTGTCTTCCCTTAAACTTCCCTGTAAATTCCATCCTTAATCTCCTTTAAAAGCCTGTCTATCTAAAATATTTCCACTGTAAACAAAAAAAGGTCATTCAGGCGATTCAGAATTAGCACTGAGCTGCAATGCTCATGTTTCTGTCCATATATAATTCAAGGGTGTATTTTGTCTCAAGATAGTCCTCCTTTTAACCAACTGAAAGTGCAGGAAACAGTATTATTGCTTACATGAATTATTAGTGTTCAAAGTACTCTTTCTGGTGATAAAGATGTAGAGAAAATATTCCAAGCAGAAAACAGGGAGATATAGACTCAGGATGATGTAGGGTTCTTAAATAGCAGGCTGTTCTTGTGTAAACTCCTGTGCACAGTTTCTTTATTTTGGAGGCAGTTTTGGCCCATTACATATACTTCTAACACAAGTATGACATGACTTAGGGATTTAATACAAGTGTGAGATGACATGTGATAGACATGTGGATTCCCCAAATTTGTGTTTGCTAGCTAAAACTCATCAAAACATATGTAAATATAGATGATAGAAAAAATATGTTCAATTTGTCAAAATAGGTGAATATGGTTACTTATTGATCTGTTTCATGTAGAAGCTGGTATGTTTAAAGTCTTTAGCACCTATTAGTTACAGTTGCAATTGGATTTTCTGGAGCCATGTAGTATGTAGTTAACTCCTAGGTTTTATATGGTGTGTTCCTTACTGTGGAAGCTCCTGTGGGCTTTTGTGGGCCAAGCCAAGTCCACAGACACTAGTTGCTAGAATTCTTTTTGTATTTACAGTACAAAAACTTTGAGGAGATTTTGCTAAAATTCCTCTGAAACGTGAGGAATACATTTACAAGACCATACCTTGCTTTTCTGTAAGCGTAAACACTTAAGAAGGTATTATACCTTTCTAGATCCTTACCCTAATTTAATCTTTACTTAGAAAAATTGAGGAACAGGTTTTTAAGATTCACTGTGCAATTGGTGAGAAGAGTTCAACTTCTACAGAACCTCTCAGAGTTTGTGGGAAGCTGGCTAATTCCAGCTAACAGAAGATGCTGATCTCGAGGTGCACAGCAGTCTCTGGAATGTATGCTTCCAAAATGGAGTTTGCAGTGGATGTCATCTTATTTTGGGAAAAATAAACCAAAACAGGTATAAGTAGAAAAATGGTGTTGCAAATATTTCTGTTTATTCGGGTTTTTTGCAGTGTTTAGCAGGACCTTTTTCAGATACAAGCTTGGTTTTTTTGAACACAGATATTTCATTTAAGGCCTCATTAACTTGGCTTTGAAGGAAACGGTATTTCTAAAGAGACTCAGTGGGGAAGTGGGCTGGAAGAGTATAAGGGAGGGGACAGCAGTGTCAGTCCAAAATTTTGACGTTTGATGTTTGACACCTTATACAATTTCTACCAACAACATCTTTAATTTAAAATAATATTTTTATTTTATTTATGATGGTTGACTTGAATGACGAAACAGTGCAGCAAGACCCATAAAAGTTCAAAAGAAATATATCTTGTACTCAGCTTCCTTCTGTTACTGTCATGCACGTGCTTTTATGGAAGAGGATATAGAGTAATAGCTCCTAAGTCATTATTTTAACCCTCTCCAAATCCTTGCGCTTCCTCCGTTTATAATGGTTTGATAATTGTTAACACAAATATTTAATTTTAAAGGTAGGTGTGATTTATGTCTAAAAGCTTTTTAGGTCTAATCAGAAGTGTTAATGGAAGTCCTTATGGAAATAACCTAGTTCCCTGCAGGGCTTTATCCTGAACTCTCTGTAGTTGGCCAGGATATGAGGACCGTACTTTGATTTTGGCAAATGTAGTCTGTCCTCCACATTCTCTCTCAAAATTTCAGTTTAATTCTTTATTCCTTCTTTACAATCTCCATAAGTATTGCATAATACTGATAAAGGAACTAAATTGTCATGATCCTTTCAAAAGGAAAAATCTTTTTGTAAATTTGCAGTTCCCTTTAACATGGAATTTGTATTGATATTATATGGTGTTATTTATGATCTATTTTCTACATAGATGTGCAAATACATACAGAAATATGTTATTTTATATTCTGTATGTCAGGGAGGTGTGATATTGCAGAAATGAAATGTGAGAGGGAAGATGATCTTTTGTTTCCCCGTGGTGAGTGCAAATGTTTTTATATGAGTATAAATGAAAAAGAGAAACAACTTGACAAATTTGAAAAATGCAGACAAATTAAGTTGTGTTTTCCAAGAAATATTCTCCAGGGAGAAAGGATTCACAGGAATCCTCTGAAAAGGAGGTAGGATTTAGTCTTTTAAGGAGTTAGGAACGTGCGCGTGTATGTGTAAGTAGGTGGATTTCATTTTAATTTTCCACAAATATTTTTCACATTAAGCAAATATTTGGGAAAATAGAATTAAAGGAGTTCATTGGCAGCAGCTTCATGAATAAAGTATTTCTGCTTTGAGAACTGCCCCACTCGCATTTGGAGTTTGGAGTTTGAATGGGCAAGGTCTCTCCTGACATTTCTGCAGCACAAATGCTGAACGCTCTTGTCCATGGAATCTGCTTTCCATTGATC